AGGATCAGGACCTCCACGTGCCATCCCGACCGGCGCCTCGCTGCAGAAAGCCCCCTTTGCTGAGCCTCAAGTTCCCTGTCCGTGTATTGGGGATGTCTCGAAAGGCGCTGATGACAGGTCTGTGACCTTAGTGTGATCCCATCCAGGTATTTTAGAGCATCTAGGCTGCCTGGGAAGGGCTGGCGATCGCGGGAGCAGCACCGTGCGGCCGCGCTCGCCCCACCTGCGCGCGTTACTCATTAGCCAGGCGGGAGCCGCGCCGCCGCGGTATCCTTCAGCACGAGTCCCAGTGAAGGTTCCCCCGACCCCCGCCCAGCTGCCAATTCGCTGGATTCCAGCCGCGGGCCCCAGTCTCCACCCACTGGAAAAATTCCTGGTCCGCTCCTCCCTCACTCCCTCCCTCCCGCCCGCCGCAGCCCGGGCTCCGCTCGGCCCCGACTTCCTGCCGGGCTCTGGGAAGCCGCGCGCGGACTGGGATCCCCAGAGGCCGAGCTCGCAGCTGGCCGCGTCCGGGACCGCCGACCCTCTGGCAGTGGGCGGGAGCAGCCAGCAGCCTCAGCCCCTTCCGAGAGCGACTTTCAAACTCGCGCTCGCGTCCTGGCGCCACCTGGACAGCCCAGAGCGCCAAGAGCGACCTGAGCCAGAGGGGCGGCGACCGCTCGGTAAGCGCCCCTGGGTTCTCTCCTCTCCCTTTGCCCGTGTAGTCGTCGGAAGTGGCAATGCCCAGAGTCAGGCTGGGTTCCTGCACTCCTCGTGCCGACCCCCGGCGAGGTGAGGACTTGGGCTACCGGGAGGGCCCAGGGCTGTGCTGGTTCTTTCCGGGGCAACCCTTCCAGACGACGGCTAGACCTTGGGAGGGTCGTTCGAGGAGACATTTTCGGTCTTTTTACACCCACCCCGGAAGCAAAAGGAACGAAGGCTCCGAGCGGCTCCGCGGGAGCTCAATTTGAAATCCGGAAAGCCGAGGAGCGGCGCCCGGCAGCTCCCTTGCGTGCTGGGTCTCCCTGGGCCGGTCCTTGCCTCGGGCTGTGGACCTTTCTGGGGAAGGACTCGAGCCTCTAGTCCCGTGAGCCCACAAGGTGCCCGCAGCTTGTTCCGGGTTGGTGCCACACGGTGTTCGCTCTTGGGAATCCCAGCTCCCTGTCCAAGAGGGATTAGAGTAGGTGCCAGAAACTGGGTGTTGGGGAGTTGAAAGTACAGAGCCTCTGGCTGCCGCTGACTTGCCGGCCGTCGCCCATTCCCGCAGTCAATTTGGGCATTTGCAGCTCGCTCTCAGCCCTTTGGTTTGGGATCTCAGGATAAGGCGTGCAAGCTGGGAATTTTAAACAAGTTGTTTAGGTAGCTGCTTTTATTCTTTAGAGCGACTTTGGAAATAAAAGGAAACACGGAGCTTGAAATGTAGTGGTTGGGGGGTGGGGAGTCTAGGCAGGGAGGGGGGTGGAGTAGAGAGCGTGTAAGGGTTTCACTCTAGAGGTCCCGCGCCAAGCTGCTGGCAAATGTAGGGGCTGGTCCGCTGCTCGGAAGCCCCCAGAAGTTAACCCGGACTGCATCACTTTTTGAGGAGCTCTGCCTGGGGGTTCCTAGAGTCTCCTCAGCCGTGCCTCTGCATGCAGCCCTATCATATGGCCCTTGCTCAAGAAATAATAAGCAGGGAGAGTAATGACAGTCCAGAGAAGGAGAGGGGGGCGCTCCCGCTGAGCACATCAGCTGGCTGGCCTCCGGGAAGCACCTCTCCTGCCCCTTTGCTGGACTGGGAGTAGGATCCTTCACCACTAAACCCCAAATGTCCCCAGCAGAAAACCCAGGGGGTAAGAGCCAAAGAAGGTGAATCATTTCTCTGTAACTCATCCCCTCCCTGTGGTTCTGGGTTCACACCTGGCTGGCTGCTCCCTTCCCCTTTGTACAACTGCTGTTGATGCCCCTGCTGTTGACTCTGTTGTCCCCTTTGCTCCCTTGGGGATGAGGCAGGCAGTCGGAATGAAGTAAAGCCTAGGCCAAGTTCCTGCTGCTGAGGGAGTGATTCCTTTGAGTTGCTGCAGGGCTTTTATGTTACCTTTTCTAGAAGGCGCAGGGTGAGTAGAAGGAGCCATGGGCTGACAGTCCGCCTCAGATTTTGCCTGAGTTTTAGTCCTAGCTATACTGCATAGGATCAAAGATTGGTACAGTGGCTGGGGCTGTAGGTCCCTCAGATCAGCCTGCTCCATTTACACAGGAAGGCAGCACGGCTCATAGAGGTGAGGTGATTTCAGCTTTGGTCCCTGTTGGCCCAGTAGGGACCAGAGCTCTGATTTCCTCACTTTTGAGTCTGTTTTTCCAACCTGACCTGGCCAATTCACTTATCTTTTCATAGTTTCCACATGAATAAAGTGAGGTTACTTGCCTGCTTTTCTTTATAGCGGCTATGGTAAGGATCAAATGAAGCCTCTGTGGAAAGAAGAAAAAGAAACAATGATGCATGGTGGTTGGGAGGGGCCCTCAAGGGCTTTACATTTTACTGGATAGGTCCCATGTGTGCCACAAAAGTCGGTAGACACCAGGAGCCAAGGGTGGATGTTTAATCCCCTGGCTTATAATATCTCAGCTCTAGAGTAAACACTGGCCTTACCAAATCCACTGCTATCCCAGGGTCACTGTGTTTACACCAGAGCAGGCCAAAGGCCATGGCCTGAGGGATGACCAGGGCTGTAGGGTGAGAGGGTCTGTTTTCCAGATGTATGGCTGGCCCAGCACTTCCACCTCACTCTCAGAACCTAGGAAGGCTCTGGCCCCAAGCTGGGAGGTTGTCACGAGCTGTGGCTGTGGATGTGGAAGGTTAATTCTGAAGCTGTTCTCTGTTGTGTTGGTGGTGGAGGGGACTCTGGGTGATGGGAGGGTGTCGCCTTTGCAGCTGCACTGAGGGCTGTCTTCAGCTTCTCATTGGTGACTCTCCCTGCTCCCAGGCACCCCTCAGGCCCAGCCACTGCTCTGTCCGCCTCTTTAGCCAGCTGCATGTCCACAGGCCTTTTGTTCCAAGCCCTGCTTGGTGCCCTCCTATCCCACCAGAAGTCCTCAGGCTGGGGCGTTGGAAGCTAGAAATCACAACTGCCAGCAGCATGTCTCTTCTGGAACCCCCAGGGGACCTAGCAGACCCTCATTTCCTCTTGCCAGGCTCACCTTGGGACCCCCAATTTACCCCTGAATGGATTCCCTCACTGTCTTTTTTCAGCTCTTTCCCTGCATGGACAGATCAGATCATGCACTTCTTCCTATGCTTGTGCCTCTTAATTCTATTGTATGTATTCATTCAACAATTATTTATTTAGCAATTACTATGTATAAATGCTAGGTGTGAGGGACAGCGCAGTGAACAAAATTAACAGTAGTCAACAACCGTTGACCTCACAGAACTGACATCTATTGATGGAAGCTGACAATAAATGACAGGTAATAGACATATAGGGTGTGTTAGTGATAAACAGAAAACTATGATAGAGAAGGTAGATGTGAATTGTCATGGGGTGAGATGACAGTTTAGATGGTCAGGAAATGTTGCCCTGAGGGAAGGACTTTTTTGCTGATGCCCAGAGGAGGTATTTTTCCTGCAGCTCTGATTTCCCTTCCTTGAATCCAGGTTGGTGGCACTTAGGGGCAGAGTGTGGAGTTGGATCCTGCGTTCGGATCCTGGCTTGATAGTCACTAGCCTTACAGCTGCTGACTGGGCACTAAACTCCTTTGAACATGTGTTTCTCACCTGTAAAATGAAGTGAGTCATCAAACCTACCACATGTGGCATTGTGAGAGTGAACAATGAGGTAACGTGTGTTCAGTGCTTAGAGGTGTCCAGTAAATCCGCCAGATTCTGCAGGGGTAGCATGGTTTTTGGTGCTAGTGGGAAGGATTCTGGATGAGAGTTTTTAATTTCAAGTACTGGGCAGGGGGGATTGGAATTGAAAAACCTAAGTGATTTCTTTCTAGTAGTGAGCCTTTTCTACTCTACCCTTGATTGTAGATGGTTGAGGATGCAGGACTCCCAGATGTGTGCTGGCCCTTGCCCCTGTGATAGATAGGGACCCAGGGCAGCCCTGACCCTTTCTTGCTCTGGAATTCCCCCTGCTTGCAACCAGCTGATGAATCACACCTTTGTCCCTGGCCTCCCCACTTAGCTTCACAGCTGCAAGGCTGGCCACTCCTCCCCTTAACCTTGTATGGATCGTTATGCTGGGAGTGGGAACAGGAGGAGAGAGAGAGAGGGGGGGGGGCAGATGGTGGGTGGAGCTGTGCCAGCAAAGCCCACAGAGGTGGCAAGAGGATTCTGATGGAGACTCTTAGGCAGCCCTGCCAACATCTTCAATAAGTGTTCACGAGTGGTCAGAATTAATTGATTAATTACTTTTTGACATGGGGACTCCTTCTTTTGCCCAGACTAGTCTCCAGCTCCTGGGCTCAGTTGATGCTCTCACCTCAGCTCCTGGAGTAGCTGGGATTGAATACAGGCATGGGCCACCATATTCCAGAATTTTTTTTTTTTTTAAAGGTACCAAGATCCCTCTACCTACTGAGCTACATCCCCAGCCCTTTTTTATTTTTTATTTTGAGACAGGATTTCCCTGAGTTGCCCAGAATGGCTTAGAACTTGCAATCCTCCTGCCTCATCCTCCCAAGTTGCTGGAATTCCAGGCATGTGTCACTGCACGCAGCAATGCCCCAGAATTTAAACTAGCAGAATGACCAACACAGTCAGGCCTGGCTGCCTCCCAACTGTTTCTACCTAGCCCAACTGATGAGTCTCTTCGAAGCCCTCTCAGTTGGAACCATGGGTCTCAAAAGGGTGTAATCTAAAATGCTGTTGTCAAACTTTGTGGTGAGCGGTTTCCTGGGGGCCCAGCCCTGGCACAGGAAGTGAGAGACTGTGGTGGCAGGCAAGGCCCAGGGAAGTGGTCAGCAGCCAGACCACTCCCTCTGAGGGCCTACAGCACACGCACAGGGCAGCCAGGCAGCACAGGGCAGCCAGGCAGGACCCGTGATGAAGGAACTTTCTGAGTCTGTCAGCTGGGGCAAAGCTAGATATAATCTGCCTGAAGAGGAAGTTGGAGAGAGGGCCCTGTATGCCCTTAAGCAAGTTTGTGTTATTGGGGGACTTGAAATCAGGAGAAAGGAAACCTGGGCAGGGTCAAAGCTGTGATCAGCAGAATATTCATGCTGGCAGTCCCTCTGGCCTTCCCAGCTGGGGCAGAGTTCCGTTAGATTTATTTTGATTAGAAGCACTCAGAGGGCAGGAACTGGGCTTGGCTTATATTGGTTCCCACTCTGAGAGCAGTCTGGACTTGGTGGGTTCATCTGCTCCAGCTTTTGTTCCACTGTGCCAGGGAGCGGAAGGCAGTGGCAGGGATCAGGTCCAGCCTGGGTGGGCTATTGCCACCTGTGAATGCAATCAAAAGGTGAGTGGGGTTTGTACAGTTCTCTTGGCTGGCCTTTGGAGAGGGAGTCCAGATTGAAGCTCTGGAGTTTTGAAGATTCCTACTCTATTTCATGTTAAGGGGATTCTGGGGCTGAACTCAGAGCCTGAACAGGTTCTGGTGGATGTCATGGTGATTGTGCATGTGACTTTCTGTGAAACATAGTGTTTGCTTTGATTAATGCTAGTCTGAGGTGAGCTGGGAGGGAGGGCTGTAAGAAGAGTGAAGTCTGTTTTATCTCGGTAACAGGATCCCAAGAGGAGAGATGGGTTTTGCAAGCACTGGGAGGTCTTAAAAACCATATCCTGTACCCCTGGGGCTGTGTGAGACTGTACATAAACCAGAGGCTCTTGGCCAATAGATGGCAAGTGTTTGCTGAGAGGCAAAGGCAACCAGTACGCCTCCCGGGCACCTGTAGCATAGTAGGAATTCAATAAATGCTTGTCAAGTGAGCAAATTGCTACTGTGTGACAAAACTCAGGAATTAAAGAAATGTTCATGCTCTTCACAAATGTTCTACTCCTGCCCGAAAGTGGCCAGGATATAGGGTTCTAAGAAGTAAATCTGTGGTCAGCTGTGCTGAACGTGGGGCAGGCAGCCCAAATTCCTCAAGCCTACAAAAGTGTGAGAGAATTTGGAGTCCGTGGAACCTGTCTTCCCAGGCTGCAGAGTTTGCCACCATGAAAGTAGGACTGGAAATGGCAGCAAGGTATGCTTATAGTCTTGGAGATATGTCCCATAATATCCTATAACATCTCTTCAATCCTAACCACCTAGCAGCCACCCAGCAGCCTTGCTTATCTACACATAGCCAAGATTGCCCTGCATCACCCAAGGGCTCAAGTTTCTGTGATATTCACACCAGCCTCCTCAGACCCTTTGACTCCCTCTACCTCTGTCCCACCCCTGGTACTGGGGATTGAACCTAGGGGCGCTCTACCACTGAGCTACATCTCTGGCCCTTTTATTTTGTATTTTGAGACAGGGTCTTGCTAAGTTGCTGAGGCTGGCCTTGAACTTGTGATCCTCCTGCCTCAGCCTTCTGAGTTGCAGGGATTATAGGTGTGCACCACCATGCCCGGCCTGTTTTACTTTTACTTATAATCATTGTCATCCTATTTCCAAGCCCACAGCAGATAAGAAGCAGCACGTGAAAGACAGGAAAGAAACCAGAACAGAGAGGGAAAATGACCATAGTGCAGTGAGAGCAGGCTGAGACCAAAGCTCTAGGAAAGCAACTCCTAATGGCCGAGCCCAGGGTCATTTACTTAGGGGGAATGGCTTGGCACACCTTCCGCCTCCAGAATCATCAGTGTTATAGTAGATGTTCTGCTGGTAATTGTAAGCCTGAGTCACCAAGAAAAGGCTGAGTGATGTTCCCTTGACTCTGTTTAGGATGGCAGGGAAGTATAAAATATATTTTTTACCCAGTCAGAGATTGGGGCTGTAGCTCAATGGCAGAGCGCTTGCCTAGTATGTGTGAGGCACTGGGTTCGATCCTCAGCACCACATAAAAGTAAATGAACAAAATAAAGGTATTGTGTCCATCTACAGCTAAAAAATAAATAAATAAATTCTCAGCTGATTAAAAATTTCAAAGGTATTGATACTTGAGTAATAATGTCATAGATCCTCTCTCAATAAGGCAAAATAAATAATATTATCCCGTCTACAGATAAGTGAACTGAGTCCCTGCAAGGTCCAAGATCACTTAGCCAACACTCTGGAAAGGGTGAGGTTTGAATTTTCTTTTTCTTCTTTCTCTCTCTCTTTTTTTTTTTTTTTTTTTAAGAGGAGGATAGGGATAGGGGCCTGTGCTGGTGATGGAATCCAGGGCCTTGCGTGAGCTCAGCTCTGAAGCACTTAACCAACCCCCCTAGCTCTAGGTGGGGATTCTCTCTCTCTCTCTCTCTCTCTCCCCCCCCCCCCCCCCCTCCCCCTCTCCCCCACACACACACACACACACACACACTCCCTCCCTCCCTCCTTCCTTCCCTTCCTTCTCCCTGGGGTGCTCTACCACTGAGCTCCATTCCCAGCCCCTTTTTAGTTTGAGATAGGGTCTCTTTAAATTGCCTAGGCTGGCCTCAAACTTGCTATCCTCTGTTTTCTGAATAGCTGGGACTACAGGCCTGCACTACCATGCCCAGCTGCATTCTTAAAAGCAAGGCATTTCTAACAGGTCCTTGTCCACAGGAGGTCCTAGTAGCCAAGGTGTGCCCTCTAGAGCTGGGATAGGTTCAGTCTTAATTCAGTTTCACCCTAGCAGGCTGTCAGTTTTCCCAAAGGGTGCTTGCCTTAGTTGAAATAAGAATGCTTTCAAGCATTTTCGTCTAAAAGCACCTATATGGGTGCCACTTTTTCTCACTTTCTCTCTCAGAGGCCGGAAATGACAGAGAGGAGTGCAATTTCAAAAATCCTAGGCCTCTTTCTATCAGGAGCTTTGTTTGGGTTCCAAATGCTGCTAAAAGACACTGAGCTATGGGCTCGTTGGTTGTTAGCTGCTTGGAGACCCCTACCCACATTCCCACCATCCAGATTCAGCAAATGTTTGTTTCCCAAACTTATTTCTCTCATTTATTATAGAGATAAAATGTTACAGATGCAACCAAAGCTTTTTCTTTCTAATCCTTTTCACTTTCCTCTCCTCAGAAGTAATATCCCCCTAACATGGGGTTTATCATTCCTATGCATGTCTTTATATTTTAAAATGTTATTTATAAATAATTTATAGTATCATGTTATCTTAATTTTGACATATAGAGTTGTGTTGAATGTATTCTTCTTGGACTTACATTCTTTGTTTTTTTTTGTTTTTGTTTTTGTTTTTTAATCCAACATTGTTTCAGATTCAACCATGCCAATAAACTTAAAGCTAGGTTATTCATTTTAACTGCTCTGTGGTATATTGTGTAATTATGTCACACTTCTCTTGTTGATGGGCATGTAGGTTGTGTCCATGTTCTCACCACTGCAGAAAATTCTGTACAGAACATCCACATGCCAGTCTTCTCTCTCTCTCTCATAGACCAGCAGGGGGTTTCTGCATCCTAAGCATGCTTTTCAAAATACTGCCAAATAATGCCTCCCAATGATTTGCAACTCATTTATTGAAATGAGTTAAATAAATGAAATTTATTGAAATATGAGAGCTCCTATTTCACTAATATTTGGACTGTCTTTTCTAATCTGGGGAATACAAAACAATATTTTTAAACTGTTTTAAAAATTAACGCTTCAATTACTTAGGTAGGGATGCTTATGTCTATTGGCCAGTTGTTTACTGTTCCATCTTAAAAAATTTTTTAAACAGGTAATACTTTATCCATATGATCCAAACTCTAAAAGGGAATACAGTGAAAATTATCTCCCTGTTCCCTAATTACCCAGCTCCCCATCCTAAGTAAAACATTTTAAGAGTTCCTTAGGTACTTTTTCAGAGGTAATTCTATGCTTTACACATTTTGTGTATGTTGGATGGGAGGTGGTACTGGGGTTTTGTGCTACATCCCCATCCTTTTTTATATTTTTATTGAGACAGGATCTTGCTAAGTGACTGAGGCTGGCCTCCAACTTACAGCCCTCCTACTTCAGCTTCCTGAGTTGTTTAGGTTCAAGGTGTCAGGACCATCCCTAGCTCTTCTATGCATTCTTAATTGCCATCGTCTTTTCTTGTGGATTTGTAGGGGTATGTGTGTGTATGTACACATATAGAGACATGCATACGTATATGTATATATAACATATGTATTTGGGTTTTGGGGGAGGTATTGGGGATTGAATTCATCCCCAGCTCTTTTTTATGTTTTATTTTGAGACAGAGTCTTCCTAAATTGCTAAGGCTCCCCTTGAACTTGCAATTCTCCTGCCTTAACCTCCTGAGTCTCTAGGATTACAGGTGTACGTACACATCTATGCGTGCCTTATATATCTGTTTGTTAAATAATATTTTGTGGACTATATATATATTATATATGTATACATAGACATAGTCTTAACCTTGTTAAATAATGTCATTTTCATGGGGACATTTTAGTTCTAATGTCGTACTTTGTGTCTTGTTCTTTTTTAGTCTGGACACGTGTGAGGCCTGAAGTTTGATCCCTAGTACCACAAAAGCAGAAAAGGAAAAAAAATCCTTTCCTATTCTGATATTATAAATATATCTCTTAGTATATTTTCTCATAAAATCAAGTTTTGCCTCCCACACTCACCCTCTTGATTCGCCTAGAATGTGTGCTCTTAAGTGACAGTGGCTTCTCTACCCTAGCTGCACGGGAATGCCTCTGGAGGACTTTTAATGAATGTACTGATGCCTGAGCCTGCTCCAGATCAGACCAACAAGAGGGACGTTCCTTGGGCTGAGGCCCAGGCATGGTCATGAAGTACTCAGGGGGCTTTTCTGTGTAGCCATGATTGAGAACTACCCAATCTTCTTGGGTAGAACTGATTTTATTTTTTCCAGAGGAGTAGCCAATTTTTCCAGCTGTGGTTATTGAATGGTCTATATTTTTCCTATACTCTTTTTGCTTTTAATATTCTTTCTTTCTCTAATTCTTTCTTTATAGTTTCATTGAGATTTATTTCACATATCTTTTTTTGTGTGTGTGTGTGTGTGTTGGAGATTGAACCCAGGACTTTGTGCATGCAAGGCAAGCACTCTACAAACTGAGTTATATCCCCAGCCCTATTTCACACTTCTTAAAATTCACCCAAGTACAGTGTATATAGTTGATTTTTTTTTAGGATATTCACAGAGTATACAACCATCACTACTATCTGATTTTGCAACTTATTTTTATTTTATTGTACTGGGGAGTGAACTCAGGGGTACTCTATCAGCTAAGGCTGCCCTTAAACTTGCCATCCTCCTGCCTCAGCCTCCTGAGTAGCTGGGATTATAGGCGTGCATCACTGGGTACTGCACTATTGTACATTTCCACTGATGATATACAAGGGTCAAGGGTTCTGTTTCTTCAAAT